CATGTTGCCAGAACTTAATGACTACAATTAAAACTGAGTTTTGCCATTGGTTGTACTTGCAATCCTGCTGTTGACCTATTTTAAAATAAAATTAGGTCACTCAGGTATACATCTATATTCCAGCTTTCACACTTCATTATCAGAAGGGCCACTATATTTAAAATGCTTATGCTACTGCGCTAGCTAATAAGTTCTCAGAACTCTGCAGACCTTGCTGACACCCACAGATTTTTGTGTTAAAGCACTGTCTCACAACTCTTGACTTGTGTAAATAGCTATGTTAATTCAAAACAGGCAAATAACCAGTTTGTCTAAGAGAAGATAAATCTGTTAAGATAATTTTAAGCTTCTCTGAGGAACTTGTAAATGGTGGCTCTCTGGGTGAGGTTCAAATTATTTTGAGGCTTAGATTCATAACAAATTTTCACATTAAGAGACATGAAAAGTGGGGTGGGGAGAAGTATAGAATCTTTCTAATTTGTACTAAGGACAGGAAGAACAATTACTGAATACCACACTTACAGGTAAGCAAGCAAAACAAGAATGATGCATCACCATGTGCCCTGTTCATCTATTTGCCATGATTGCACTTTATAAGTAGTCAAACATCTTTAGTATGTTATGTAAGGTATAACGGTCTTGCTACTGAACTTACTTGTCAGGGATTTACTTCCTTTGTTTGTGTGGTGGTACGGGATGTGCAAACCTAAAAAAAAAATTTTTTTACCAGTAAGACTATTGGCTAAGTCTCTCAAAGTAGAAGAATAAAATCACTTTAACCGTACTGAAGACCCTTGAAAAGGCTTTATATGATTAATGTAGCCCTCTGAAAGCAAGTTAATATCTTGGAGGTACCACCAAGGCTTCCCTCTTGCTGATGGACCAGGCATTAAAAGTGATCTGCTCTACCCATCACTGATTTCTCTAGGCTTTTGGGGGATGAATTGACAGACATTTAAGAAAACTCAGTCTTCTGCCTGGTGGTTTTGCTGACTCTTCTTTCTTATTTCAAGAAATCCTCCATAAAGATTACTGGATTCCTTTCTTGTTACTCTTCTTCTTGTAGATCTTCTGTTAAAGCATAGGTAGTTCAAAAACATTCCAAAAGAATGTTTCTTAGAAGTCTGGCCAAACCAGCAAAGGTCAAGAGAAATTGTAATGCTGCTGCCCCTGCTTCACCCAAACACCTGTTGCAGAGGTGGCTTTACAAGTTTTTCTGTTCTTGAGTAAGGACTTCGTAAGAAAATCTTCATTGTAGCTCAAGCCTATTCATATAATTCCAGCTGTGTCCATACCTGCGGAGTTTTTCTTCAACTATCTCTACAGCCCTTCTTCCAAATTCTTTTTTTGTCATACCGTCAAAATGAAGATCCTCAGGTCATCTTAGGGGAGCCCACAATCCTTAGGACTACTTAACATTTATAAATATGCAACTGTACCTCCCCATTGCCCACATGCACGTGAAAGTTTACTCCTTTGCAGTAGGACATTCCTTTTTCAGTGTCCCTGTCTGTAGGCCTGGCTACTGCTAGACAGACCATTCCTAAAAGTTAGGAGCATAACAGCCTTCAGGAAACATCGTTATAGTGCCATTTTTGGCAGCTTCGTCAGCTATCCCTCTATGTGAGGATGATGTCTCCCAAGGTGGGTTAATTGGCGAGTTTTTAAGTGTCCGAGGAGCCCAATTCTTGCCCTGCAGGTTTTCCCACAGCAGTGACAGTCTTGCATAATTGTTGCCTGGAGTGTTGTGTCCTTTCTTTCTTCCTTTGTTGCTTCTCTGTCTCATGAGCACATCTGTTCTTCTCAAAGTGAGCTGTGGCTTGGTGTATGGTGTGGCACCACTGTGTTCTGTTCCGCGCCAAGTCCTCCCAGTTTGTTGGGTTGATGCCTCCCTTTTTAAGATATACTTTCAGTATGTCTTTGCACTGCCCTCTCTGAGCCCTTCTTCCCTGACTTAACTGAGAGAAGAGTACTTGCTTCAGGAGGCAAGTGTCGGGCATACGTACACAGTGGCCAGCCCACTGGAGTTGGTATTTCATGACTTGCGCTTCTATACTGCTGATGTTGGCTGCAGAGAGAACGCGTCGGTCTTCCCAACTGATCCTGAGAATCCTTCTGAGACAGCAGTGCTGGAACCTCTTCAGCCGCTTGAGATGTTGTCTGTTACCCAGGTCTCACACCAATAGAGAAGGGTGGGGAATGACAACTGCTTTGTAAACCAAGGTCTTGGTACTTGTTTGTAGATCCCTGTCATTGAAGACTCATTTGAGTAGTCTTCCAAAATGTGCTGGCATAGCAGATCCTGTATTCAATTTCAGAGTAACAGTCATGTTAGTCTGTATTCGCAAAAAGAAAAGGAGTACTTGTGGCACCTTAGAGACTAACCAATTTATTTGAGCATAAGCTTTCGTGAGCTACATCCGATGAAGTGACCTGTAGCTCACGAAAGCTTATGCTCAAATAAATTGGTTAGTCTCTAAGGTGCCACAAGTACTCCTTTTCTTTTTGTATTCAATTTGTGTCAATGCTGGCTGTTTGGGAGAGGTGGCTGCCAATGTATGGAAAATGGTTCACATTCTTGGCTAACTTGACCAAGCCAACTTCTTGCATTCTGAGAGATGTATGCAAATTCTTTCTTGATAGTCTCTATCAGTTGTCATTGAGAATAGCTGACTCCATCTTAGACTGCAACTTGAAGCAATTATGCATTTATACTTGAGCATACCTTGTCACAGAAATTATGCATACTGTTAAAATGAAGATCAAGGAATGCAAGAAAGTTTGGTTAAATTGCAAGATACTTTTCCAGCTGTCCTCCTACTCTTCTGGGGGTGGGGGAATTCACCCAAACAAAGCCTATAAAATGGCATGGAAGTTGAGAATACTACGAACAGAAAGCTAAAGACATAAGAAATGTTTAGTTTCTTTTTAAGTGTTGCAGAAATGGAAAGCTTGAAAGAATTGGTGGGTATATGCCAGACTGTCAGGAAGTAAAACTGAAGATGAGCTGTATGGGTAGGGTTTATGGGATTTTGGGTTTTGTTTGTTTGTTTTTGTATCTCTGGTACTTCCTCACTAGGAGTAATGCATTTTGTTCTGGACACAATCTCAAAAGAGTAAGTAGGAATAGAGGAGGATCCAATAAGAGAAGAGGGATTAAAAGACATGAAAATATTTTCATGTGAAGGGATAGTGAAAAGACTTGGGATGCTCAGTTTCGAGAAGGATAAAGGGATATGATAGCGAATGACACAACTACTAGCTCAAAGAAGGTAAATACCTATCAAATACTTCTACTTACCCTTCTTCAGAATACAGACTGAAAGGGGCATTCAGTTAAATTGAAAAGCAACATACTTTTTGCTGCTAAAAAGGGAATACTAGTTGATAGTGTGTAATTATTCTGTGGAACTCATTGCTCCAAAATAAAATTATGATGAAGAGCTTAATAGGATTTTTTTTAAAAAGGCTTAGATTATGGATGAAACTCAGGTACACTAGGATTACCTATTATATTATATTATATTATATTATATTCTTTTTACTGGGAGAGCTAGTGGTTGCCCTTGTATTTAGGTTGTCATAACACTTGCCATTATAAAAGATTCTTGGAAAGTTTTTTTTTTTAGAAGCTTTAACGCTTCCAATCTTTGCAACAGGCCTTTGAAATTCACAGGGAAGTAAGTCCTCTGGTTAAAGAAGCAACTCTTCTTCAGTCTGTCAAATTCTGTTCACATTCTAATGAGAGAGGAAAAAGTCATTTTTCCCTCTCTTGTTTGAGTTCTTCAGGAAAAACTTTGTCATGATGCCAGACATGGAATTTCTAAGGTCAGGTCCATGCTACTGCCAAAGCAGCAGCATGCATTGCCCTGGGGAGGCCAGGAAGCTGTCAGAGCCATTGTAATGTCAGGGTAAGTGGGAGAGAAGAACTGGGTTGAGGTGTCCCTGACCATCTCCATATTGCAGGTTCCTGTCCCTCTCATGGGGTAATAGTTTTCTACTGGTAGCTAATGTCCTGTAGTTCAAGTAGTAGAAGGCTCAGCTTTAGTGCTGAAGATTGAGGCTTCAAAACCTACCGATGATAAATGATGTGTGAGGTTTTCTCCCCAGAAATCTAGGAAATTATATACGGAATAAAGCTTTCAGTGTAGTTAGGTTGCAAAATCAAGCACTCAAAAGTTAGGAAATACTAGATTTGAGGTTGTCCAGGCAATCTTAATTCTGTCCCACTATGTTGTCTGCATTATGATATAGTTTTAATGACGTGATCCCACGCTATTTTTTTTCCCCACAGTGTATCTGCACAAAATAGATGAATAAGGAGGCAGAATTAAGTTGCATGGGCAACTGTAAATTTGTCAGTTTCTAACCTTGAGTGCTTCAGCTTTCAGCTTGAATAACATTCTTTTAACATGCATTACATAACAAAAATAGTGTGTTGTAGTATAAACCCTCACTCAGTTCTTTGGAAGAAACTTCAGCTTTAAGTATATTATTCTTTAACTGTATACAATGGGTTTTCTTGCACCTTCCTGTAGTACAGGGTACTGTCAGAGATAGGACACAGGATTAGAGGGATCACTGGTCTAATGGTCTAATCCAGTGTGGCAATGAGTACTACATTATGTATTTTTTGGGGTGAGGAGAGAAGCAACAACAGAATATCAGGGCACTAGAGATGGACACCCTGCAGAAATAACACTGCTTTTCTCTCTTGGATAGATTCTTTTTGTCTTCTCTGCTCCTGGTCTCTGACTGTGTCACTAAAGACTGTCACTAAAGACTATGTACCATGATTGGTTTCCACTCTGTATCCTTAGTGACAGCTAATGTGTGCATTTACAGTTTGAGTTGGTTTCATTGCATGATGCCCAAGTTGCTATAGCACAAATAACTAATGAATCTTCCAGTAATCCAGCAGAGTTGACTAAGGGTGCTACTATATGTCTCTGTGTTACAGGCATTACGTATTTTGTGCCAATCTTACTTTATCTCAATAGGTACAAAGAATTTTACGTGAAAGATTTTGTCACCAGTGCCCTAATGGAAAACTGTTTGGGGTTCAACTTCAGTACAAGTGAGTAAGCAATTTCATAACTTTATGGGCAGCTGCATTAATATTTTGACCTCAGTTTAAACATAAATTTTGATTTGTACAGGGCCTGTTATGCCTTTGATCTTTTTTCTGTTAAGTAGTGATTTTAAAATGCACTTAAAAGAAGCAGCTTCTTAAAACTTCAGTAGAGCTTGAAACTCATTTAAACTTTGTTTTAAAATTAGATTATTAGAAAGACTTGCATTCCTGTTTTTCATGTGTATAAACTTCTAAAAGAAAATCACCTTCTGGGCTGAATTTTTCTCCTGTATGTTCAAGAAACTCCTACATTTTGTCCATTCCCATCCCTTCTCAGGTTGTTTTTTATTTAAATTTTTGAATGTTTGTTAGTTTAAGTTCATCCAAAAGTTGAGAGACCTTGGTTTGTATCTTCTTCTCCCAGGTCTTCCTGCCTGGAGCCTTTCCTGCTTTGTCAGAACACTGCAAGGAGTTTCTGCTAGAACCTGCACACCCCTAGCAGTCTAGTTCCTGACTATTCTCCCCTTCATTGCAGCCTCCTGCTGTTCTTTATAGGGCAGTCACCCTGATCTCGCCTAGATGTGGCTTATTCTGTAATCAGGGTGGCTAGCTCCAGCCTTAAGGGGTGAGTGACCCTGTTACAGGAACCAATAATGAAACATTTGCTAGTATAAATTAGGACTCCAAAAAATAACATGGTGCGAGGTAAATAGTGGTGTCCCCCAGGGGTTTGTACTGGGCCAGTCCTATTCAACATATTCGTAAATGATCTGGAAAAAGGGGTAAACAGTGAGGTGGGAAAATTTGCAGATGATACAAAACTACTCAAGATAATTAAGTCCCAGGCAGACTGCAAAGAGCTACAAAAGGATCTCTCAAAACTGGGTAACAAAATGGCAGATGAAATTCGATGCAAAGTAATGCACATTGAAAAACATAATCCCAACTATACATATAAAATGATGGGGTCTAATTAGCTACTACCACTCAAGAAAGAGATCTTGGAATCATTGTGGATAGCTCTCTGAAAACATCCACTCCATGTACAGTAGCAGTCAAAAAAGCAAACAGAATGTTAGGAATCATTAAAAAAGGGCTAGATTACAAGACAGAAAAATCATATTGCCTCTATAAATCAGTGGTTCACCCACATCTTGAATACTGCATGCTGATGTGGTTGCCCCATCTCAAAAAAGATATATTGGAATTGGAAAATGTTCAGAGAAGGGCAACAAAAATGATTTGGGGTATGGAACAGCTTCCATATGAGGAGAGATTAATAAGACTTTTCAGCTTGGAAAAGAGATGGCGAAGGGGAGATATGATAGAGGTCTACAAAATCATGACTGGTGTGGAGAAAATAAATAAGGAAGTGTTATTTACTCCTTCTCATAATACAAGAACTAGGGGTCACCAAATGAAATTAATAGGCAGCAGGTTTAAAACAAACAAAAGGAGGTATTTTTTCACACAATGCACAGTTAACCCGTGGAACTCCTTGCCAGAGGATATTGTGCAGGCCAAGACTATATAACAGGGTTCAAAAAAGAACTCGGTAAGTTCATGGAGGATAGATCCATCAATGGCTAATAACCAGGATGGGCAGGGATGGTGTCCCTAGCCTTTGTTTGCCAGAAGCTGGGAATGGGTGACGGGATGGATCACTTGATGATTACCTACTCTGTTCATTCCCTGTGGCACACCTGGCATTGGCCACTGTCAGAAGACAGGATACTGGGCTAGATGAATCTTTCATCTGACCCTGTATGGCTGATCTTATGTTGTTAACATTTGTTGTCTTCCTCTTTTGATAATGAAGAATTTATTTTGAATATTGATCACTCATTGCTGAAAGACATCCAAGATTCTGTAAGAGTTACTTTTTTCTCTTTTCTTCCAAGTGTATTCTTCCCTCTCAATGGAAGATTGTTTCAGTTGTTAACAGTAACTCCCGTTCTTTTCTCTTTTTTCCCCATTGTCAATGTAAGAAAATTAGTGTTCCTACTATAAAATGCATATTGTAACCGACTTTTAAAAAAAACGAATAAAACAAATGTTATGCTCGCATTCTTCACTGAATTAATTCAGTTTTTGGGGGAAATAAATGTAGAATATAAAACCTGATCCTCATTGTTACAAAAAAAAATCGTGTGGACCCCTTCCATATGTTTTTGGGGTCTTTAAAAAAATTACCAATCGCAGGGGATGACCTCCACAGCAACAAAGGTGGCACTGATGTTGTTACGCTGTGGAGAGGCAACATGATGAAAAACTGGAAATCAGCAGGACAGTTTTCATTCCTCAGTTATGGCAGAGAACTGAAAAAGCCCTTGTGGTTACTAGAATCTCTCTACAACCATTTCAGTGTTTTACAGTAACACTTCAATGAATCACTTACATTATCTTAATATACAGTAAAGATACCCTAAAGGGAAATAGCTTTGCCTTAAGGAAGGACATCTAGAACTGACAGCTTAGTAGTTCAGTAATTGTTTAAATTTCTAACAAGAAGTATTTGTCTGAACTCCAAGTAACATTCCCATAACTCTAGATTGGTGTGAAGTTTGAGTAACACATTCATAAAAACCTGTGTGAAGAATTCATAGTTCCGTATTTGTACCAGAATAATATAGAATAAGTTTACTACTTTGTGATAAATGACTTCCTGTTTCTATTTAAATTCTAACATTCTATGCTAAATCAATTCACTTAAACTCTGAACACTATTCTAGCCATCTTTATTTTCTGTAATTTCATTGTAAACTTAAGTTCTGTCAAAGTTCACCTATGCTGTAGTTTAAACACCCTGAGTTTCAGTGAATGCATCAGAAGCTTAGTATGGGTAATCAGTTGGTTAAAATTATTTAGTCGGTGATTCCACATCTGTCCTCATGGTCTCTTAGCTGGCACATTTTGAAGCATTTTTTCTCTCTTCCTTTTGTTGTTGTAACACCATTTGTTTGTCAACCTGTTGCTGTTTAAAAGTCTTAATACTAATTGAGGTTAGTTCCTTTCCTATTTGAAGAAAGGAGCTAAGAACTGAATGTAATAGTTTTTCTCTGAAATTTGCCTTCCATGTATGGCATAGTGGTGCGTAACATGGTATTTAGAAGAACCAGTGATACTTTTTATAACACACATTTTTAATGTTTATGAAATCTGAGTCTAATCTTGGATTTTATTACATTTTGCACCCAGTGGATGTTACTGTGATTGCAGTTAACCGGCCATCCTGTGTTAGGCTTCTTTTTTTCTTATCTGAATTTTCTTCTACAGCTACAGCAAATACTCCTGTTCCTAAAGTTTTAACTTACTGTCATTGTCATTATAGACATCTACTGGAGCTGCTGAAACGAACCATTATCCATGGAGAAAGTAACTCTGCACTCATCATTGGACCCCGGGGATCAGGAAAGACTATGGTAAAAGCTCTTAGTACAAGTTGATGTAGGGTCAAATTGTACCCTGGTGTAAATGGGTGCAACTCCATCGGTGTCCCTGAAGTTACACCACAGCGGAGTTTGGCTTTTGATCACTTCCTGTCTTTGTGGGGTTTTATTTTTAAAGATATCTTGTTTTGCTAATGCTTTTTTTATGAGCATTTCAGGAGATGTATTAATGAGGCTGTTCAAAAGAAAAACCTTACTTAAATTTTTCTTTGTCTTTCTGAAATCATAATATTCAGATGTCTGTAGTTCAAATACAAGAATTTCATATTTCAGTCAGACTTTATGTGCAGTTTACAATAAAGCGTGTAACAGGAACGCTGCCTCCAGCCTGCCCCCTTGTGGTATAGGGTGGCTCTGCAAGCACCCCGCTTCAGTTTTTTCTCTCTGGGGTCTTGGAAATAATCCACCAAGCTTTCTTCTGGCTAATGGTACTCTTGGTTGGGCTGGTTTACTAACAAACAGTACAGAACACTCAGTGCCCAAAGTAAAGTCATCACTGTAACACAAGCTCATACTCACTCTGGCACCTTCATTCCAATCTGCCCTTTATCCAGCAGCCATTGCCAGCCCTTTCTAGCAGGAGTCCTTCCCTGTTCTTCAAACAGCCACTCCCACTCTATCCTTCCCTCCCCAGGAAGGATCCAAAACTCCTCCTTGATTTGTCATCAGGCAAACCCCCTCTTTTGCTCTCCCCTAGTATCTTGGTCTCCTGCAGGAGCCTTGCTACTCTGCAGCCTTCTCCATGCTCCCTTTGTTGAAGTGTCTGTCTCTGTCCACCTGGGCTTCTTTCTTATCCCAGAGGCCTGATCGAACCACATGATCCCTCCCTTCTGTGGAAAGGTGAACTTGTATCACAGCTGGGGCTGAAACCCATTTTCCTTTAAAAGTGCATCCACCCTGTGACAAAGTATAACAGATTCCTTGTGTGACTGGCAGAAACTTCTCTTGAAATTCTCTGAATGCTACACTGTCCCACCAGCAGAATGTACCAGCTCTTAGGCATTATAGGCTTCTCTTACCTCAAACTGTAGGCTCTTAATTCATCATAGTGAGGAACAGAGGTAACTTGTGCTGCTGCATTAGTGGTGTTTCTCTGATTTGGCTTTGAGTGGCTGCACTGATGTTTGACCTGCTACTCAACTGACTTTTCCCTTTTAAAAATTGAGGGTTTTTTCCTACCAAAAAATGGGAATTTTTGTCATTGGAAGCAGGTCCTGCTTTATGAAGTTTCAATTTGCTTTAACTGTTTTTCATTCTTGTCTGTGAAGCTCCCTGATGTCTGTATAAAATCTGTAACTCAGACTTGTTTCTACTGAAGTCATTGCAGCTCTACTTAGAGTTGTCAGTGTGGATCCCACTGTAGGCACATGCACTGTGTGAGAGGCCATAATCTTTTTTGCTTATCCGTGTCCACGTGGGCTGCATATGCACCTTGTGCTCCAATGCAAGGGCATAAAGGCAAAGTGGCCCTGACTCTCCCTCCATTCCCTCTTACTACCTGTGGTAGCAGTACGGAACCTGGATTGTGTCTGACCCATTTGGATTTTTGTCTAAGCTCCAGATTTATCTAAAACACTCATCACTACTTAGTTTACTTCATAAAGTTCCTCATTTTTTGGACATTCCAAAAAAGCCCAGACATGATGGGGGAAACCCTTTGCAGACCTGTTTGTGCACCCCTGTACAGCAGGACAAAGTTGTACAATGGTTAAAATATGGCAAACTGTAAGCCTTCAAAGTTTACATCCTGCTCTGTGTTACTGTCTAATGCCCTGCTGAACACAATCTGTCTCTCTTCTGCCTTGGGGAAGCTCTTATCCCCAGTGAACGCTTCTTTTCCTTGTGCTCCCAGAAATCAAGGGACACAAGGCTCAAATTGCATCTCTTGGAACAATCCACTGAAGGTAGCCTCAGATCTAGAGGAAGAAATGTCATCCTGTCTGGAGCCTAGGAGGCTTTCCTCTGATAGTGCACCAGAAACTAGGTACACCTCCAGTTTCAGCAGGGAGAAGAGATCAAAGAAAGCAGTTGAATCAGCACAAGGAATCATGGCACCGTTGGATATGTTCTCTATACTAATGACATCAATGCTGATGTCTTTATTGCTGGCTCTAGGACAGTGACCCAAAACACTCTCCGCATCAGGTATGTGCGCAGAGCTGCGTTTGCAGTAGTGCTTAACATAACGTCCTCCTCAGAAGGAGGACTCAGTCCAAGGGTGGTAGTTCAAGGCCATTCAGCTTCAGAGATGGTAACAGAGCACCAGCACCCAGTAAGGTCAGAGACTTGGGCTTTGGTACCAGCACTGACTGAGGAACCACTCCAGATGCAGGGGTTTGCCTTTGAAGATCCACCTTTACTTTTCTTCCTGGCACTAACATCATTACTACTGAGCTTCATAGGAACTGTGCCTGATGGCATTGCTTATCCTAGAGGTGTTCTACCCCTGATCAGACCATTCTAGTCTCTTTTTAGGAGTGGACTCTGATGGAGACAGGAGAGATGAAACACCTCTAGGACAAGCAAGGGTGCCCATTACTATTGCTCTTATAAGACTGGTAGTGGATGGGTTACCCACAATCTGGCCAACACCAGTACAATATGCCATTGTGGCCCTATTGGCCTTGATGACTTGCTATCTCACTGGTCCCAGAGTTGTGCCCCATCACATATCTCCATGAGGAGGAGGTGATTACCAGTTCTCCTTGGCGTCAATAGGCCCCCTTTGCCAGAACCAGAAGAGCAGCTGGGTATGCTGCCAGAACAAGCCTGGGGGAGACACACCAGCTTCCCTCCCCTCCCCAAGAATCTTCTTCCTCTCCCAATGAGGCAGTCACTGTGGATACCTTGGATATTGAAACTATTCAGTTCAAGAGAATATTTGTGAACTATTTGACATCTTAAGTTCTGCTGTTCCACAAGAATAGTCCTATCCATCAGTAAGGGTTTGATGGAGCCTACGATGGAATATTTGGCATGCACTGGCCTTGCCCCCCCTCAACCTCATGCAAAGAAGAGGTGCAAATACCACCTAAGGTGGTTGAGCAGTTGTGTGTGCACCCTATACCAGGGTGCTTGTTGTCAGCAGTACAAAAAAAAACAGTCAGCTCAAGGACAAGGATCTGAGAAACATTGACCTTTTTGGCAAGAAGACAAACTTGTTTCACGTTACAAATTATCAAGCACTATGAAGTGCACATTCCTTGTATGGGAAAGGATGACCCCATTACTCTCAACTCCCACAGAACTGCATGGTTCTTTGAGATGATGTCACTGTGGATCCCATGACCTTCCCTCCAACCCTGCTTTGAGTCCTCAGCTAACTTGTGCTTTGAATTGTGAGGGATCTGTTGGAGAGTTGCAGCCACTCCATCCTTTATGCCCTTGCACAGGAGCATAAAAAGGCACAGGGTGCGTGGATGTCCTTGACAGACTGCTATGCAAAAAAACTCCAGCCTCATGCATGTGAGGTGCATGCTCACCTGCAGTGGCACCTAAACTGATGACAACATCGCAAAAAAATAGCTACTTTAGGTAGCATAAGTAACTGTTGATTTGTTAACCTACACATATAATACACTAATTATGGCTCCTCTGTTGGGATCAGGATCTGTTATGAGCCTAATTTAAGTGTGTAAGCAACTTCCATTACCTGTAAAATGCTGACATAATGGACTAGAGTATGGTGATTCTGGTTATAGGACTTGATTAGAGTACATACTTAATAGGTGCTTTTCCTGTACTGTATATCATGTCACCTTGTTCATAGGGTGCCTTTAGTCAGAGTACGTTGAGTAACACTTAAGTGGTTGCTATGTACATGCATTTACAGTTTTACCAAACTGAATAACAAAGCTTAAAAGGCTATATTATATATTTGTTATAAACTGTGTGTAACCTTTCAGCAAAAAAAATTACCTTTTTGTAATATAAAAATTGTCTCAAACTGGTAAGCTATAAAATAGCTGAAGAATTTTCATAATTGTAACATTAAAAAAATTGGTATGGTTAACAACTAAAGTACCTTTTTTTTTAAAGCCCTTTAAGAGATGGCTTTGTGATGGAGACATTGACAAACATTTCACTACATAAAAGTGCTTGTACCAACATGTCGATGGTTTTGTCTGCTGCACTTTTTGAAGTGCTAAATAGTAGTATTCTTCCAATATCATTGGGCTCTCACTCTTCAGAATTGAAAGTATGCTAATGTTGCCAGTACAAAAACTCTGCATAGAGCAGCCCTAAAATAGAGATCATACCCACAAAGCAGACCGTGTGAAGGACAGACTGAGATTGTTGACCTGAATTTGATGGGTTAGTGATTATGGCTCGCCACTGATCGCAACCGTCCAGAAGATTTATAGGTTCTTATCCAATTCAGACTACAGAGTTTAAGAACTCAGAGAGTTCTATATTGGGAGAGGATTCTCGGGGTGCTTGGCAAGAACAAGTACACTGAGGACAATACCAAATTGATAAAACCTTTATTGAAATTAACATAAAAATAAGAAATGCAATTAAATTTATAACTGCAAAACAGTAAAAATTCGGACACTCCTGGTGGTACCATCTCTATTATAAGTACCTTAACCTAACGTACTCATACCCTTCCTTGAGGACCCGGGAATAGGAGATGAAGGACCAGCCTCACTCCTGGCATGCCCGATGATGCGATGGTGCTGGCTTCCCCAGTGGTTAGGAATGTTGTACGATACTGCATAAGCTGAGCTGATAGCGTGAAAGAAGATAGGATAGATAGATAGAGCTTAGAATTTAGAAGAGCGGAACTTATCCCTAAAGCTATCCCTAAAGACTGACTATTGAATCTCTCTTACAGGGTATTTTATAGGATCCCGACCTATGTAATTCAGGCTCAACGTACTATACCCAATCTTATTTCCATACCCTAAGAAATTTATGGGTACCCTTCTCCTATAGGTTAGTGGATTATGACACTTACTTTCTAAATATATTAATAAGGATTATCTCATTCCAAAACTGCCAGCCTAGGCTCTCTTGATGACCTCCAAGTTGTGGTGTACCCTGCAGTTACCAACCGGTTGAAGAAGTCAGATAAACATGTGATGCGATGTGGATAGTTCCTCCCTTTGGTTCCCCGAAGTTCAGGGACCATTCTTATCTGTGCCAAAGGTTGCCAGCTTTTATGCTGACATAACTGATCATAGTTTTTGCTATATTGCAGATCTTACAAGCCTGTAGGCTTCTTGCATTTTAACAAAACTTCTCATTAGGAAATACATGCCTCAACATATCCTAAATTCCAAGGAATTAATACTAATAAAATATAAGAATTAAATGGATTAATTTCAGAAAAGAAATATATTAATTGATACTGGATTGTCTGGCTATGTAGACTCCCTCCTCAGGCCCTACGCTACCAGCACTCCCAGCTACCTTCGAGACACCACTGACTTCCTGAGGAAACTTCAATCCATCGGTGATCTTCCTGAAAACACCATCCTGGCCACTATGGATGTAGAAGCCCTCTACACCAACATACCACACAAAGATGGACTACAAGCCGTCAAGAACACTATCCCCGATAATGTCACGGCTAACCTGGTGGCTGAACTTTGTGACTTTGTCCTTACCCATAACTATTTCACATTTGGGGACAATGTATACCTTCAGATCAGCGGCACTGCTATGGGTACCCGCATGGCCCCACAGTATGCCAACATTTTTATGGCTGATTTAGAACAACGCTTCCTCAGCTCTCGTCCCCTAAAGCCCCTACTCTACTTGCGCTATATTGATGACATCTTCATCATCTGGACCCATGGAAAAGAAGCCCTTGAGGAATTCCACCATGATTTCAACAATTTCCATCCCACCACCAACCTCAGCCTGGTCCAGTCCACACAAGAGATCCACTTCCTGGACACAACGGTGCTAATAAACGATGGTCACATAAACACCACCCTATACCGGAAACCTACTGACCGCTATTCCTACCTGCATGCCTCCAGCTTTCACCCTGACCACACCACACGATCCATCGTCTACAGCCAAGCTCTGCGATACAACCGCATTTGCTCCAACCCCTCAGACAGAGACAAACACCTACAAGATCTCTGTCAAGCTTTCTTACAACTACAATACCCACCTGCAGAAGTAAAGAAACAGATTGATAGAGCCAGAAGAGTTCCCAGAAGTTACCTACTACAGGACAGGCCTAACAAAGAAAATAACAGAACGCCACTAGCGGTCACCTTCAGCCCCCAACTAAAACCCCTCCAACGCATTATTAAGGATCTACAACCTATCCTAAAGGACGACCCAACACTCTCACAAGTCTTGGGAGACAGGCCAGTCCTTGCCTACAGACAGCCCCGCAACCTGAAGCAAATACTCACCAACAACCACATACCACACAACAGAACCACTAACCCAGGAACTTATCCTTGCAACAAAGCCCGTTGCCAATTGTGCCCACATATCTATTCAGGGGACACCATCACAGGGCCTAATAACATCAGCCACACTATCAGAGGCTCGTTCACCTGCACATCCACCAATGTGATATATGCCATCATGTGCCAGCAATGCCCCTCTGCCATGTACATTGGTCAAACTGGACAGTCTCTACGTAAAAGAATAAATGGACACAAATCAGATGTCAAGAATTATAACATTCATAAACCAGTCGGAGAACACTTCAATCTCTCTGGTCACGCAATCACAGACATGAAGGTCGCTATCTTAAAACAAAAAAACTTCAAATCCAGACTCCAGCGAGAAACTGCTGAATTGGAATTCATTTGCAAATTGGATACTATTAATTTAGGCTTAAATAGAGACTGGGAGTGGCTAAGTCATTATGCAAGGTAGCCTGTTTCCTCTTGTTTTTTCCTACCCCCCCCCCCCCCCGATGTTCTGGTTTAACTTGGATTTAAACTTGGAGAGTGGTCAGTTTAGATGAGCTATTACCAGCAGGAGAGTGAGTTTGTGTGTGTATGGGGGTGGGGGGGGATGTGAGAAAACCTGGATTTATGCAGGAAATAGCCCGACTTGATTATGTAAAGAGTTGTCACTTTGGATGGGCTAGCACCAGCAGGAGAGTGAATTTGTGTGGGGGGGTGGAGGGTGAGAGAACCTGGATTTGTGCTGGAAATGGCCCACCTGTTGATCACTTTAGATAAGCTATTACCAGCAGGACAGTGGGGTGGGAGGAGGTATTGTTTCATATTCTCTGTGTGTATATAAAGTCTGCTGCAGTTTCCACGGTATGCATCTGATGAAGTGAGCTGTAGCTCACGAAAGCTCATGCTCAAATAAATTGGTTAGTCTCTAAGGTGCCACAAGTACTCCTTTTCTTTTTGCGAATACAGACTAACACGGCTGTTCCTCTGAAACCTGTCATAGGAGATAATAGTTAGCAAATAATCCTATGGGCTACAAGATGGAGGAAAGGGATACAACATGTAAGCAGAGTGATCATAGTGGTGACAGACAAATGTCTAAATTATGTGTCTTGGGGCTTTCTACAATTAAAGACTCTAAAGTCTTCTCTTCCTCACCACAACAATTTCCAGCTTCAGTGTTCTTATGATCCTTTTCCCAGTATATGACCCATTTTGGCTACGTAAGTGAGCAGTTAATTCATAAGACAAATGAAATGTGTAAGTGTATTTAATTAGCTTCTTGAAGGTGAAAGGGAAGAAGTGGGTTTTCAGGAGAGCAATACTAGTGGAGAGGAAGTTGGATTTATGTTTAAAAGGAACTAGTGATGTTGGATAGAGGAGGCAATGGGGGAGGAGAAGTAATGAATAAATATCAAATTCATACTAGAATCTAAAAATACTTACGTTTAAGGTCAGTTCTTGCCAAGGGCTGTGTAGAAAATTGAGAGCACAGATAAGTCTTTAAAATGGTGACTTTTTAAAAAAGTTGTTCTTTGGAACTATCAAGTTATGCACATTGTTGATTTATGTCATTGTATGCTGCTGTTAACTTTGTGCACCCTTTCCTATCTTAGTGTGTAAGATGCAACGTGTGTGTGTGTGTGTGAGAGAGAGATGTCTTTAATAACATTTTCCACTCTTCAAGGTAAGGACCTTAACTACTTTTGTGTCTTGTACAGCATCAAGCACAATGGGGCCCAATCCTCATTGGGGCCTTTGGGTGCTACTGAAATCTACTAAATGAAAATGCTAGAGCTACCATTTTAGAATCTTTTAAAAGGCTTTTTTGCATTATTGGATTTTTATGTGCAGCTACAAAATAGTCTGCATGTTGTAACTTGAAAATTATTGGCAATACTTTTATATTCTGTTCTCTCACAAAGAACTGATACTCCTCCTCCTCCTCCTCCTCCACTTAACTCATGAAACATGGAAATAACAAAAGTTTTAGAATTTTGAATTTAGCCACAGTATCTGTCATCTTTCCTGCCAGCAACATGCTTCTCATGAAGTTTCATTCATGCCACAAAGTTCTGGATCCTTGCATTTCCTTTTTTAAAGATAGGAGTGATGAGCCCATATAGAAGGGTTTCATTGATCTGATTTGAAAGACTGATTTGAAAAACCTGAACAAAACATTTTTTGGAAAGTGTTTTTCCTCTACGGACGCAAATGCTAGATGTCAAGAATGTAGTTAATACAGGAAGTACTCATGTTCTTTTGAGTATCCTCAACCCAAACTAATAAAGGTTGATTCGATTAGTCACAAAGCAGTATCTTCAATTTTAGTAGATGTTTGATCCTCTTGTTTTATTTGCAGTTTCTTCTTCTTACTGTTTTTAATTTTAAAAATATACTGGAGGTATTTTAATGTGAATTATGCTATTTTTTTCTAGTTATTAAATTATGTCTTAAAAGAGCTCATGGAAGTAAAGCAAGTGAGAGAGAACCTCTTGCAAGTTCATCTAAATGGCAAGTTATATTGCATTCTTTTAAATTAAAAATACTATATATTTGCTTTTTGTAGTGGGTTTTCACTTACTGTAAATCTAAACTAATAGTGCCTTTAAAGATGTTTCAGAATATCTGCTCTCATAAAAATCTTTGCCTGCTATCCATTGTTTAGTTATGAAAGATAGATTGTCTGAAGCAACATTTCAAGAGGTGTACAAGTAGTCTTACTTCAAAAATAATATAAAGTCCCACTTTGGGAAAAAGTTCCTGGAATAAGTCTCTTCGCTGGTGGCATAATGGTGTGACAACTGGGGTGTAGAATGAGCGAAGGAGGTAATTTAGTGTTTGATGTATAATCACCACTTTCTTTTAGGGCTCTTACAGACAAATGATAAAATAGCACTCAAGGAGATCACGAGACAACTACAAATGGAAAATGTGGTTGGAGACAAAGTTTTTGTGAGTATGAACTTCTTGCTGCTCTTTTAGGCACAGCTTAAAAAAAAAAAAAAGAGCATTACAAGACTTAAACAAAAGATCTCCCCTCAGAAAAATAACCACACCAAATAAGTAACTTTTCCATATATTGACCAGACTAAAATGAATAGATTTGAGCCTTACTGCAAAACTGATGGACTGTCTCACTCTTCACATAATTATCTTTTCAGAATTTATAAATGATTTTGAATACTACTGATATGAGATTTATGGAATTAGAAGAACAATGTTAACCTGTTAAGGTCCTTGTAAAGTATTTCCTAAGTCTGTCTGTCTGTCTTGACAGTAGAAAATACCAGACAGTACTTATGAATGTACAGTCAATGTCACCATGCCTGTGGTCGATCACACTTGAGAAAGTCAATTTCAGGTCAGACTGACAAAAACTGGGTAGACACTACCACACTGGTGGTTTATTCTGTAATCCAGATTTAACCAAACCTGCAACAAATGTGGCTTCTGGATCACTAAACCAGCTTAATATAGATCCACAGGGCATCTCCTGAGGCCTTCCAGCCTATGTTGCCACCCAGACAAACTGGACTTCTTTGGTGAAGGGTTATTAAAACCAAAAATCACCCCACATTAACTTCTTTGAGTCCCAGGGGGCCAGTCATTTACCCAGGTCAATAGATGCTCAGGACCTTACACAAAAAACAATGCTGTAGCCAGTACTTAGTAAACTAAGAAAAGGAGTTATTAAAAGGTTAAGGCATGTAAAACACTTTACAGTTGGATTGAAGTACACAATTCAAATTGTTTGTAGGAATGTTAAGTCTGCTAGTCTTCATCCCCCCCCCCCCCCCCCCCACACACACACACACAATCCTGGCTCTGTTACAGGTCAGGCAGTTCCCTGGGGTATATGCTCTGCCATCCTTCCATCTGAATTGCAGATTTTGGCTTACACCTTTGCCTACCTGCTTTCTGAGGTGTTTTCAGGGATGAGTCCAGATGCCTTTGTTTACAGCTCCTTTGTTACTTCTAAAGAGCTCACCTGTGGGCATTTCTCAGACCCACAACATGTTTGAGTTAGACACCGAGCAAAATTTCATAACTCCATACATAATGTCGATATACACCTTATAACAAGATAATAGTATTCAGCAGGTTATAACTTTTTTTTCAGTGATACCTCACAAGGCATACTTTGTCTAAGATTTATCACCACTTTCAGTGATGACCATAGTAGTGTAGACGTCACCTTCCCCTTTAGACAGTATTACCATATATTTATATGCAATGTTGAGTGTAACTTTTATGAAGTTAACTTGTTTTTCTGAAAAAATCTTTTTTTAATCAGAAATTTTAACTATTTCATCACAAAATAGTGAAAAGACCCTCTTAAAACTTGCTTGAAACATCTAACTATATAGATGAGGCAAAGAGTTCTAGTGGAATTCAAAATTGATAGTTCCAAATGTATTGCTACTAATAGACTGGAGCATCTGGATAACATCAGCTACAATAGTTATTTCTTTACAAATAAAGGATTGATCAATAACGTACTAAGTATTTTAAATTTGTTGTTCAACTAGCAATATTTTTAGAAGTATTAGTCTGAAGCATCTTAAACTGTAGTTTATTACTTCTTCCTAGTAAGCTTGGCTTTAAAATCTGAATTGGATAATGAGGACAGTGGGTATGAGGTCTGCCAGGTGCCTTACAGAGGAGAAAAAGTCCCTTATCTTCTGACTTTAAGGGAGACAAGATTGAGTAAGTGGTAGATTCCTGACTTTTGAGCTAGTATTTGTAGGGTTTCAATATGGTTAAAACTTAGCTAGGTGGGCACCAACTTTAAAAAGATTTAGCCTAAATATTAGAAAGTGCTTTCTAACTATAAGGATAGTTGTATTCTGGAATAGGTTACCAAGGGGTGTTGTGGAATCCCCCCTCACTGGAGATTTTTAAGAACAGATTAGACAAACACCTGTTCAGGATGGTCTAGTTATACTTGATTCTGCCTCAGCACAGGGGCATGAACTAAATGATCTTTGAGGACCTTCCTACCCTACATTGATATATTTTATATCTTTCTTTCCTTTAGGGTAGTTTTGCTGAAAACCTTGCATTTCTTCTTGAAGCTTTAAAGAAAGGTAAATATTTTGTATAAGACTTTAAACCCCCGGTGAGTTTTAACAAACTTTCACCCAAATGCTGTAGAGAAATCAAAGATTACCTCACGCTCTAGACAAGTGGTCTCCAATCCTTTTTAAGCCCAAGATAACTTTTTGAATCTAAGGGCAACCCAGGATCTACCCTGTCCCTTCCCCAAAGCTCTGCCCTGCTCACTCCATCCCCCCTCTCTGTCGCTTGCTCTCCCTCACTTTCACTGGGCTGGGGTAGGTGGTTGTGGTTCGGGAGGGGGTACGAGGCTCTGGGCTTGGGCCAAGGAGTTTGGTGTGTGGGAGGGGGCTCTGGGCTGAGCCTGGGGCAGGGGGTTGGGCTACAGGGGGGGGTCCGGGGCGCTAGCTCTGGGAGGAGGTTGGGATGCAGGAGGGGGTACAGGGTGCTAGCTCTGGGAGGGGGATCAGGGCAGGAGCAGAGTGTTGGGATTCAGGAGGGGGGTTGGGGTGCTGGCTCCAGGAGGGGGTTGGGGCGCAGCCTCCTGCAGGGCAACACTTCCTTTCGGCAGCTCCCAGTGGGCGGTAGGCACAGCGAGGCGAAGGCAGGCTCCCTGCCTATCCGGCCCCACACCGCTCCCGGAAGGGGCCAGTGTGGTCCATGCGCTGCACCTCTCTGCAAGCACTGCCCCCACAGCTCTCCTAGCCAATGGGAGCTGCGGGGGCGGTGCTTGCAGGCAAGAGCAGTGCGTGGAGGGAGACCCCTGCTTTTCCCCCTCACCCCCAGCTGGGGGGCTGCACTGGCGGCTTCTGGGGGCAGCGTGGGGCCAGAGTAGGCAGGGAGTTTGCCTTCGCGATAGCTATACTACACCACCGGAGATCGCGATCAACTGGGAGATCCTCTAGGATCAACCAGTCGGTGACCACTGCTCTGGACCATAGTACAAGGCACTTCTGCATGAGAATGAACCTTGGTTGCAAAATGGGTAGAGTGAACAGTCGTGTGGTCATATCAAGCATTGTGATGTTTGAATCAAATGCTTAAGCTTAATTTACAGGAGCAGCACTAAAGACTTCTTTCTACTGTTCATGGAATGGCTAAGGATGGCAGGTTTAAAAAAAAACCTGAAAATAGTATTGAACTTTTTTCTGTTGCTTTTAAACAGTTACTGTTTGATTTTTTTTTTTTTTTTCGTCTCATTCATACCATCTTCCCCCAGCAAAATGCAATCAGATTTTGCAGGTTTTATTGTTCATTCTACCAAAAGCAAATATTTGCTATGCATTCAGGTGTAGAATGCAGTGGTGGATGTGCATGTAGATTTTTGCAATGCTGTTATCAAGTCTGTTTGCCCATGATGAGAATTGATATAGCCTTCTTAAAATATTAAAATGATAAATGGGCGTCTTAACTGTCGTTTTCACTGTTTATTTGTAACCAAAAAATATCTTGACAAGCTAGTTTAACCTCTGCAGTACTTTAAGCTAAATAATCATCATCAACCATGGCATGTAGCAAATACACATGAGATGGGGGTCTTATGAATTAGCAAAGATTCTATAAACAGGTTAAAACTTGAGGGCACACTAGAACAAAAGTGCTGCAAAGGTAAGAAGTCTAATAGTTGTGTACTTACCAGTTCAGTAATATACTGTTTTAATTCCTGTCTTAGGTGACCGAGATAGCAGTTGTCCAGTGCTCTTTATACTGGATGAATTTGACCTCTTTGTTCATCACAAGAACCAGACATTACTGTATAATCTTTTTGATATATCCCAGTCAGCACAGACTCCGGTAACAGTTATTGGACTTACATGTAGACAAGTAAGAAGTTTTTCTTTTCTGTTTTATAGAGCTTATGTTTCTGACAACTGTAATGTTTCATATTCTTTTCATATTTTTATTCTTAAGAGTCATGTCTTAAGGAGACAATTCTGCTAACTTCGGAAACTTCTCCCCCTGACCTAGCGTTGTTATATTGGCTTACTTTAAAAATTGATTCTAGTACAGATACAAAATAAGTGACACAAAATAGTAAATATTCAGAGCAAATGGGAACAGAAGTAGGAAAACAGGAATATGCTCCAGTAACCTCTCTTACTAAGAAAATGAAGGAGGTTCTTTCAGATTTAATAGGAAGCAATTTTTTCCTGCATCTTAATATCTGTCTTAAAGATGAAGCATCTCACCAAAAAGTACCAAAAGTTATAAAAAGAAAAGGACAACACAAGAAGCTATTAAAGTTAATGCCATAGAAACAATGTCAGTGCTATGTCAATTTCTCCTATGTCTTAACCAGACTGTACTTCAGGAGAAAAAGCTGTGGTCACCCCACTTAATCTTTGCGTTG